TATATAAAATTAATATATGTATATTTGATGTTATCACATGAAAGTCACAGCTTACAAATGTGCATTTTACGGTTGCTGTTGACAAATAACACAGTTTTTAATTAAGGTTTTTGATTAATTTTGAGTCAAATACCTGATTCAGTCCATGATTCATACTATGTTTTTTGGGCTGGGATCTGTTTTGGCAGTCTGGAGAGAGGGATATTCCCACAGTAGTGCTATCATGGCTAGGGATTGTTCAGGTTTGTCTGGCAGAGATCCATGTTTTGTTAAACTATGGAATTGAAAGGAGGAGCAGGCTCAGTCAATACACATTTCACCCTGTAGGGATTATTGTCTTTTCAGCTGAAAATTGGTTTTACTTATTGTCAGCTTGTTGGAGATTTAGTGCCCTTCAAGAAAAGATGAGTGTCTTTGAAGCTGAGGGAGCAGGTCTACTTGTTAGTTGATTTAGTTTTTCTTTGTACTTTGTTTCGCTCCTGTGAAGGAAGAGAGTTGTTGGTTAGATGTTATATTGTTTGGAGTGGTCAACTCTTCCTGTCAATCTCCTTCCTTTCTCTATCGCATTCTTCACATGTCCTCTTTCTCTAATTGCTCTCTCTTTCTCCCTGTCCCTTAAATCTGTATTACTCTACAGGATGCTATAAATCAGGGGTAGTGCTGGGTGACTGGGCTGCTGTGGGAAATAGAGGACATGAGCTAAAGCAAGCGAGACGGGCAACTCTAGAGCAGAGTGAATAAGAACAAAGTGTCCCCCATTGCATTTATGGAGAAGTGACATTCTGGAGCAGAGGCTGTGAGGATTGGGAGGGGGAATCAGTAATCTTGTCTTTCATTTTGCTCGGCACCCACCTTGTCATTTCGTTGTCCTGTCGTTATTGCTTGTTATCCTTTTCTCTCCATCTCTTTGCCATCACTTTTTCACCTTTTGAATCCAATTGAAGCTAAACTGTGGGATTCCCAGCATTCTACAATCTGCTGCTCTCGGATGAGCATTAAGCTCCTATACTGTGGAATTTCATTAACACACAAAGTTGGTTATCTATCTATCTATCTATCTATCTATCTATCTATCTATCTATCTATCTATCTATCTATCTATCTATCTATCTATCTATCTATCTATCTATCTATCTATCTATCTGACTGTCTGTCTGTCGTTCTTTCTTTTGTTCTCTCTGTTGTTCTGTCTATCTATCTGTCTGTAGTTCTATTTATTTGTCTGTTGTTCTATATATCTATCATTCTTTCTTTGTTGTTCTTTCTGTCTATCAGTGTAATGATCCACATATATAGACCCTTTTAGTGCTGACGTCGGCTACATTAGGAGCTTACAATGTCATCTTTGTTTGTCAGAATTGATGGAGTACACGCTCCAATTTGAAATTTTATCGCATAACTGCTGCCATTGCCAGACAAAAAAACGCAATAAAACGAGCGGACTGAACTGAAACGATCATCTAAAAGGCTCGCATTTGCAGTGCACAATATCAGTTAAGGTTAAATAAGATGTTTTTCTTTTATGGAGTATGGTTTACAAGTTAACTAACGCACAGAGACTAAACATAAAGGAAACCGTTTGTGTTGTCTTGCTTTCTACAATTGCCATTTGTGCAACTGTAGAGAGAGGGAACAGTGAAAGCCGATGTTATATGTCAGGTGTGTGTTCAGGTAGTTGCATTTGCTTACAATTGCCTCTGTTAGTACATAGTTATAGGCATCTAAAGATTTATATGCCCTCAGTTTCTATTTACTATGCACGCTTGGTTTCTCTGGTAGGTGTGTCAGGCCACTCCTGACAGATCGTCCATCCATTGAGTGTGTGTGTACGAGTCAGCCAATCTGGTTCCTTTCGTTAAAGTTAACGATTTCAAATAACAAACAAGACAAGAGACGTGCGGATCCATCTGCAAAGCTTTATTTCAAACATGGTCAAAACAGGCTTGGGTCAGACACCAGCAAACAGATATAGACAAGGCAAGACAAAGAGTAATCCATATACAGCCGTGGGTCAAACGATGGCAAACGTAATCCAGTGGGCGAGGCAAACGTGTAATCCAAAACATGCAATAATTCAGGCAAGGGGCAAACCGAGTCCAAACGACAAAACGACAATAATCCAAGACAGGCAAGAGATCAAGAAACAGGCAATCAGGCAACACGACGTGACTAAACTAAGACTATAACTAGGAATAAGAACTGGAAACTATGACTGAAAACTGGCTCCGTAATGTTGCTATCACAAGGAGAGATACACGCAAACAATACTCGGCAGTGAGAGAGAGGAAGCCCATGGGTTATGTAGGGTGTGTGATTGGCTGCAGCCGTGTGTGTAATCAGTGCAATGGATGATGGGAAATGTAGTCCGGGGTAAAGTGCAACAGTTAGGCCCAATCCCAATTCTACCCCTTAGCCCTTCCCCTACCCCTCCGTTTCGTGCGTTCACGTGAAGGGGTAGGGGTGTCTCGATTCTCTTTTGGTTGCCAGACAGCCCTTCAAACGAAGATTTTTCGGGACCACACTTCAAACGAAGGGGTATGAATTATCTCAGCGTAAACCGGCTTCAGGGGCAACATGGCTGCCCGAGCGAACAAAAAGACAAATAAATGTACGCATTTTTGGCATTAATAAAGATTTTACCGAAACGTAATTATGTTACATTCAATCGTGAGTTCATATTTACGGTCATGTTACTCAAAGAAATGTTTGCAAAAAATCGCTAATATTTGCTAACTAACGTCATATCATTATAGAGTGCACGATAGTGCCACAACATATTTTCATGTCTGATCAGGGCGATAACCACCGTAGACATTGAGGGGGGCTAGTCCCCCCAACAATTATAAATCGCTAAACCCTTTTCTCAAATATCGCCAATTCGAGAGAGAGAGAGAGAGAGAGAGAGATGAAAGTTGCGTGTATGTGCGTGTAAAAAAACTGCGATTTTATCCTATTAATATAGAACGGTAATTAAAGGCTCTAATGCACACCAGCACACCAGTATGTGTGTGTATTGTAGGAGCTAGACGACGTATGATGACGTGTGACGTATAGTAGTGGTGTCCCAATTCTTAAGGGAATATTTTCACCCCTACCCCTTGACACTCTGTTTCAAGGGACAAGGGGAAGGGGTAGATGGAGGGGAAGGGGAAGGGGTATAAAATAGAATTGGGATTGGGCCTTAGTGTGGTGCAAGAGTCCATAGTAATGATGGTAGTGATAGTGGTGAGCGAACGGAAGAGCAGGCACAGGATCCATGACACCGACAGTAAGTGACATTACATATTCAGCTAAAATCTAATTTTCTCCAGGCATTGTTAAAAAACAAGCAACCAAAACCTGTTAGGTAGCATTTGTGAAGCAGTCTTGCTGAATATTTCTGCCTCCACCTAAGCTCCGCCCATAAAAAAACTCACAATGTTTACTAACTGAAAAAGGGTCGAAATGGCATATTATGTAGGCTGAATTGGTTTGTGTCTTATAGGCATCTGGAGAGGCAGTCAGACAGACAGTAGTAAGAAAGTGGCAGTGAGCCTGATAATGCTGCGGCTGATTGGCAGTATGTATAAAGTGTTAAGCACAGGAGAGAGCACAGCTCAGCACCCTTGCTGTTTTCCTCATGGTGCGGCTGTGAATGAAAGCCTGCAGCTGGGACGAGCACAGACTCTCACTATTGGGAGGGTTTTTTTGCAGTCGGTGCAGCTTTTCAATTAACACAATTGCTCCTTGGAGACCCAATGATTTAGAAGTGAATGAATATGCCATTAAGAGAAGCATTCTGGCCTATCATCGCCTCAGTCTGTTTGATGTCATAGCAGCTGAGGGTTGTCATGACATCATCTCAGTAATTCAAATACGAGCGCATTCCCACGCTTGTCTGAGAAAGGATGGATTTTGAATCAATGTGGTGTTTGTTTGTACAAACTTTTAACTGGCTCTCTTTTCGAATGTGGTTTTGTCATTACAGAATGATGGGATTGGACTTCAATAACTGTTGCAGAGTAGCTTCATTGAAAAAATACCTGGAATTTGACAGTATGCTGAATTAATAAATGTGGCAGTGAATAATGTGGAAAAGAAAACAAGAAAATCAGCTATTATTATTATTCATAAGTTTGCCATTGTTAAATAGAAGTAATGTAGTTAATATGTGTAATGTTAATTTGAACAACCACTTCTGGGGGTTTGAATTTTCTTGAATTTTCACCTTGTGGATTGTGAGTTTCCAGCATTTCCCAACCTAAAAGCAGATAGACTGATAAAAGACATTGTGAAGGCATGGGCAAAAGCTCCGTGCTGACAGAATGACTGGAGGCCAGCTAGAACAGGAGCGCTAGTGTGAGAATGAGATGGCAGAATGGAGCGGGAAGCTACAAATAGAAAAAAAATAGAGCGTGGAATGGTGAAGGCGAGGTGTAATGACTTTGGCTGAAGGCCAGCGGTCTTATTTAGAGAATCAGAGACATCAAAAGGCTTTTTTTTGGTTCTGTTCACTTCCTCTCGTGTGTAATTTGTTATGTGGTTTTGTTATTTTTTTTATGACACCAGCCAACATCAAAATGAAAGGGTTTGTCTGATACAAATCCCATGCGCTGTCTGTTTCCTATTGATAAGTTTTGAAATATGATGGTACCTGTATGTGGTTTTGATGATGACACAAAATTTTCTGTCATCTTATGAAGAAAATAAATGGAAGGTAAAATCATTATTGAAAGAAGGATGAGTGTGCTTGTAGGTTCGATAATTATTTGTGGTTCTGTTTGCTGTGCATCTGTGTAAAGTGGCTAAAATCACCTTCTCTCTCTCTCTTTTTATATATATCCCCATCTATCCATCTCATGCTCTTTCCTTAATGGGGTCAGAGAGTCTGTACCGTGTAAGGAGGCTGAAATGTGTCCCTCAGACTAGCATTGATGGTCTAGAGGAAGCTGAGGTAAGATACATTTTTTGAATATTCAGTGTTCTACTGCTTTCTTTTTTATGATATTGTGCCGTGACCTTTCCGTGTCCCTTGTTTACCAGAACAAATGTCAAACACATGTGCTGGTGTTGGTGGTTCATGGGGGAAACATACTGGACCTAGCGGGTGGAGAGGCAGGCGCAAAGACTGCAGATGTAAACACCCTGTCCTCAGTGCTGGAGAAAGTATCTCAAGATCATTTCCAAGCTGCAGCTCAGCATGTCGTCATCAAGTTGGTTCCATGCCCAGCCGTATGCGCAGAGGCCTTCTGCCTTGTGTCAAAGTAAGTAGCTATTACTAAAAGCGACTTTTAATGACAATGTTTTTTTGGAAATGGGCCATGGTATTCTTTGAAGTTAATATCATTGTATATGCTAGCATCTGATACCATCACTGTTTCCTTCTAGCACTACTGTTTTGTCATGGTTAGACTGGCTGAATTTCCTGGCATTGAGTGTTTTGCTTCATTGTGCATATACACAATGAAAGAGATGCCACATAATTAGATGTTTTGCTCTGATGTCGTGGGAGCACCCTCAGGTGAATCTGGCTAAATGCATGAAACTCATTTTAATGGGCAAATGTTGACAGATTCAGTTGCAGTTGTTCTTGAGAGTTGGTTTTATGAACTAGCTGAGCAACACAAGTTTATTTGAAGAACGTTTGAGTTCATATAAGAATGTGTTTGAAAGAAGTCTTGTATGCTCACCAGGGCTACATTTTTATGATGAAATATTTATGTATGTATTTATGTATTATATATATCATCATATAGTATATATAATATGTATTATTTGAATACATATTAATACATAAAGTATTCATTTCTTTTGAACAAACAAAAACGCTGTCCTTTTGAACGGTAGAGTATTGCAATGCAAATTAACTGTCTTTAAAGACACTGCTCTTTTTTTATTGTAAATTTTCACATGGAAAAGTCACAGAAGGGAATGCACTATATTTGTTATCAAGTTAGTTTTTGCAGGCTGCAGCCCAAATTTATACAATAAAATTCCTGTGCTAAAGTTGTGAGAATCTAATGAGAATAACCATTTAGAATGATTTACAGAAAAAAACAACTAAAGTTTAAAGGGGTCCTATTGTGCTCTTTTACAAAGTCTTGATTTTGTTTTGGGGGTGTACTAGAACAGGCTCTCATACTAGGTTGTTCGAAAAACACATAATTTTTCACATATTTTATATTATTACAACACCTCTCTCCCCAGTCTGGCATGAACGGCTCGAATAGTTCCTGTATCAAATGAAGGCCCGCCTTCTGAAATACGAAATGTGCTGTGATTGGTTAGCTGGGCCAGTGTGTGTTGTGATTGGCAGCACTCTGCGCCTGGTTGGGAAATGTCATGCCCCTTACCATAGCCGCCTGCGAGCTTCAGTGTAAATATTGCATCAATATCAAATCAATTTGAGCACGATTTAAACCCGGATGATTGTAACCACTCTAAGTTCGTCTGCCTTGGGAAAGCTAGCATGTCTCCGACATAGTGATAATACTCTTTGCCTTCTCTAGTGCAGCTCAACCAGGTCTCGTCCCATTCGTCGATATTTGTGAGATCACAAATTCCGGAAAATATGCGTTGTAGTCCAACCGAGTCGTTCGTTGTAGTTTTTGAAAAGTGATTTCTGTTAAATAAAATATCTCCTTTTGAAGTGGACTTTGAGCTTTGTAACTTTTGCAGATTTTTTTTATGCACAAACAGCAACATTACAGACTAACTAAAGTTGAAAAAGTGAAAAAGCATAATAGGACCCCTTTAATGTAAGTACTTCTAAGAGGTATTTTACAAATTTGTGTCCCCAAATAAGCCCCCTCTGGCCTTCTAGTAGATTTTTATTTTTACAAGATTAAGGAGAATTTGTGAGCAGTCTATTAATTTCATTGTCTTTTGCACAGCATCTCTTCATCTCATGCAGGTAGAAAGGAGTGCAGATAAGATTCAAAGCCTAAGCTTAGCATGATTTGTTTTCTTGATGAGGCATTAAGAATTTTGTCATCCCTCGATGCTGCTGTTCGTTTATAAGGGCTGAAAATGAATAAGTGGTAAGAAGACAGCCCCAAGTAAGCATGTAACGCTAATGCTTTCTGTGAGAATCAGCCTTTATAATGAACAGAGTCCCTTTAAGCCGTCAAAGCGGATCCATCGCTTCAAGAGCTCAGTGGCTCGGAGCTCTTCTGAGGGATTTCTTCTATAGCTTTAGGCCTTTTGTGTCCTTTTGGTGCAGCAATGAAAGATGGAGGAGCTCCAGTCAGAACAAACAGAGCAGAAGAGGGTTTTTGATCACATGATCACAATCCCTGCCACTGCCATGGCACACACAGTCTAATAAAAAATGTCAGTCATTGGGGTACCACGGAGATTAACATGATAAACCCTGTTCATGAGTGACATACAACTGCATTTGCTCTTTTGCTGTGGTTTTATGGTTCAGTGGCAGGAGCTGTAGTATTAAACTGACCTGAGCAAAGGACAAAGGGATAGATGCAGAAACCATGTGTAGTTTTACGTCTATCTGTCTGCATTTGTCTAGTACTGAGAAAGGGGATATAATAAAAGTGATATAATAAAGAACAACAGCCTGCTGGGAGAGATTGAGTAATTGTTGCAGGTCGTAATCGTGCTCCCTGGATGTAGAATACACACAAGCGTGCAGTCACACACACCCTTATAATCACACAATGGGGTTTTCTTTTCAGCAACACGACTTCCTTTTTGCTTCCCACAGGATGAATTAAGGTATAAACGGTCAGTTTACACCGTTTGTTAGACCAGGATCAGCCAAAACAACATCGGTAGGCTCTGGTTCTCCAGAAAGAGACATGTGGCTGATTTTATCTCCTGCTCAGATCTGCCAGCTTGTTGGACAGCTGCAGTGAGGGCTAAACAATGGGGTGAATCTAATGAAACCTGTCCAAAACATGTCCAAATCACATTTCGCTCCAAAATCAAAGCAATTAAAAAGATTGTTTTGCTTGAAGTAAATGTTAGGACTGTTAAGGTTTTACTTATTTATTTATTTAGCAGTTTGGCATTGTTTTGAAGATTGTAAATGATATATGGGGCATACAGTGCCCTCCACTAATATTGGCACCCTTGGTAAATATGAGCAAACGTGGCTGTGAAAATAAATCTGCAACGTTTATCTTTTTGATCTTTCATTCAATAAATTCACAAAATTCTAACCTTTCATTGAAAGTGTGGGGAAACTCACATTATGAGTAAAATACCTCTGAAGTATATTCCCATTCATATTTACATTTTTTAGCTCACCAGGGTGACTAGGAACATGAAATTGTCCAGCCATGACTTTCTGTTCCACAGTATTATAAATATGAGGAACACAAAGGTCAAATTACCTTAAAGGGGGGGTACAATGCTGTTTCATGTATTCAGAATTGTTTACACTGTTAAAGAGTTGGATTCTCATGCTAAGCATGGACAAAGTTTCAAAAAACAATTTGGATGTATAACGGAGTATTTCTGTGCCAAAAATCTTACTTCAGGGTTCGTACAAGTTTCGGAGAGTTTTTTTGACTTAAACGAGGGTGGAACTCCTTATATGGGCATTTCTCCTGGAAAAACGCCCGCGCACGCATCGACCAGAGCAAGAGTGAGATCACGCCCATCAACGCGCTTCATCCGGCAGCAGCGCTGCACGGGACTCGCTCGGGAAAAATGTCTCCAAAGAAATGTGTTTTTGCTTGTAAGAGAAAGATAACTTTGTTCAGCTTCCTAAAGAACCCAGCGTTATGTAAACAGTGGATACAGTTTGTTTTTCCGGGGCAGCGACGGAGTTTCACAAGTGTGTTTGTTGACGAACGTTTTATAAACAAGGCCCGGTTCGACGCTGGACGTGCACATCGTTTGATACTGAAAGATGGAGCGGTCCCAGCTATAAAAGATCCTGGTCATGATTCAGAACTGCAAACGGTAAGTGAAACGGCATCAAATGTCTGTTTTGTTGGCATTATCACGTGCGAATGCAATTTGTGGATTTTAGCTCGGCATTCAATACGATTATTCCCCAGTATTTGGTAAGCAAACTGGGACCTTTGGGCCTTGGTACCCCCTTGTGTAACTGGCTACTGGACTTTTTAACAGACAGACCTCAGTTTGTGAGGGTTGAAAATCATACCTCCAGTATCATCTCTCTGAGCACTGGCTCCCCTCAGGGCTGCGTCCTGAGCCCATTACTATTCACCATGATGACCCATGACTGCCATGCCAGGTTCAGTACAAACCATGTTGTGAAGTATGCGGATGACACGACAGTGGTGGGCCTCATTCAGGAAGACAACGAACAGGCCTATAGGGAGGAGGTGAGACAGTTTGTAGATTGGTGCAATATAAATAACTTGCTCCTGAATGTTGAAAAAACAAAGGAGATCATTGTTGATTTCAGGAAAAAGCAGCACAGGCACACACCACTCATCATCAATGACACTGCGGTGGAAGTAGTCAGTAGTATCACGTTTTTGGGGGTGCAGATCACAGATAGCTTGACATGGACCGTTAACATCACCTCTCTTGTGAAGAGAGCACAGCAGCGTCTTTTTTGTCTGCGTCAGATGAGAAGAGCACACCTTCCCTCTCTCATCCTCAGTACTGTCTACAAAGGCATTATAGAGAGCATATTGACCAGCTGCATCTCTGTATGGTCTGGGGATTGTAAAGCCTCTGACTGGAGGTCTGTACGGAGAGTGGTGAGGACAGCGGAAAAGATCATTGGCTCTTCACTGCCTTCCATCCAGGACCTCGCACACAAACGGTGTCTGACTCGTGCTCAAAACATTGCAAAAGACCCCACCCGTCCTCATTATGGACTGTTTACGCTGCTGCCCTCTGGAAAAAGGTTTCGCAGCATTCAGTGCAGAACAGTAAGGTTCCGTAATAGCTTTTTTCCACAAGCTATCAGACTTCTGAACTCAAAAATAAGCTCTTAACCATTTTATTTCACTGAATCCTTTTGTAGTGACTCTTATGTGTACTAGATGTGGACATTTAAATAATAGTACTTTTTATGATGTGCAATAATTGTACTATATGCTGCTGCTTAATAAGTGCAATAATTTTGTTTTAGATGCTGCTAATTATGCATTATTTAATATTTATATGCTGCTGTCATTCCTTTTAGTGTTGTATTCTTTTAAATGAACACTGTTGCAATTTTTATTATATCTATATTTTTATACTGATTTTATGGTATGTGTTTAGTTTAGTGCAGTATTTATGAGCCAGTGGAACGGAATTTCGTTCATATGTGCAC